ACGCAACAAGAACTGGTTTTCACTGCGCGGACATGCGCGCGAGAGGTCGCGCGTGAGCGCCCTCGTCTCTATTGTATAGCGTGCCGCGCTGGCGGCCCGCGTAAGCCGCGGCGCAGGCTCGCTGTGCCACCACTCGCAAGTTGAAGCTCGCTGAGGGGCAGCGAACGCGGTCCGTGTTTCTGGGGCGACGGGGCAGGGGCAGCGAACGCGGCCTGTGCTTCTGGACACAACGCTGCCCCCCCAGCGACCTTCAACTCGCAAGACCCCTGTCTTCCCAGACCCCCGACGTGATGATTTTTTCATTACGTCGACCCCCAGAGGTCCCGACCCGTTCCCCATGACTGGCTTTGCATCCTGAGTCGCTTTTCGACGTTCGCGAGGCCCGGTGAGGGCTCCCGGAGACGTTACTCGAGGGGGTCTGGGTTCCCGTCGCTTGGATGGGCGAGCACCGACCGACCGACCGACCTCCGAGCGCGCGCGCGCCCTGGCCCGTGCGGGCGGCACGGCCTCTCGGGGGATGGGGGGGGCTGCCAGTGCGAAAAACCCGGAAATCAAAAAATCAAAACCCAGACTTTCAAAAGTCCGGGTTTTGGGAAGTTCTGCAATTAAAAACCCAAGCTTTCAAAAGTCCGGGTTTTAATTTTTTGATTTCCGGGTCTACCCCTCCAGCGGCGGGCCCCTCCGACCAGCCACCGACGGCCCTGCGGCGGCGGCCTGCCTCGCCGTCCTCGCCGCCGTCCTCGCTGCCGTCCTCGCCGTCGCCCTCGCCGTCGTCCTCGTCGTCGCTCTCGTCCCCGTCGTCGCTCTCGTCGTCGTCTCCGTTGGCCTCGTCGTCGAAGGTCGCCAGCCGTCCTCGCTGCCGTCCTCGCCGTCGTCCTCGCCGTCGTCCTCGTCGTCGCTCTCGTCCCCGTCGTCGCTCTCGTCGTCGTCTCCGTTGGCCTCGTCGTCGAAGGTCGCCAGAGCCCGCGGACCGCGTGTCCGTAGCCATTTTGGCTCAGGCGATTGAGTCAAACTCGATGTCTGGCAACAGGCTCTCCCCAGAGCATGCCGACGGCAGGGTGCAGCGCTCGAAGCTGAGGTTCAACACTGGGCCGCCCAGGGAGCAGTCGGTAGATGCGCTGCTGAGCCCGGAGGCTCTCGGGCGCAGGCCGCAAAAGGCGGCGACCATCGATGGCGGCGGTGGGCCGAGGAGGTCGTTCCTGGGCCTGGCGGAGGGGTCCCCTGCGTCCCGCCGGCCGTCCAACAGCAACACCGGCATGCCCCCGAGCCCCCGGAAGGACGTGCCGCGGCTGTCCGGCCTGGGCTCGACGCCGGACCTGCTCGGCAGGCGCCCCTCGAAGAGCGGCACCAAGGAGCGCCCGACGCCGCTGCTGCAGCTGAAGGAGCCCGGAGGCCGCTCGCCGGCGCTGCTGGGCAGCACGCTGCCCCGGGTGGTGTCCATGCCGACGCTCAACGCCGACGGGGGGCAGCGGTCCGCGAGGGGCATGCCGTCCCCCCGGGGGATGCCGGCCTCCCCGCGCACGCCGTCCAGCGGGGCCACCAGCAGCCCGGCGCGCAGGCCCTCGAGGCTGGCGTCGTCCGGGGGCCTGCTGCGGGCGAGCCAGCGCCTGGAGCAGGACGGCTTCGCCGCGGGCAGCAGGGAGCCGCCCCGCTCCCCCCGCGCGTCCACGAGGATGCCGTCCAAGGGCGTGCTCCGAGCGAGCACGCGCTCCCAGACGGAGCCCGCCAGCACCAAGGAGGCGCCCGAGGTGCGCTTCCGGATGAGCAACGTCTCCGAGATTGCGGCCGTTGCCGCATCCGCCGCGGAGCCGCCGGAGGTTCGCTCCCCCGGCACGTCCTCGAGGGTGCCGTCCAAGGGCGCGCTGCGGGTGAGCACGCGCTCGGTGGACTCCGACGCGGGCGGCAGAGAGCCGCCGCGCTCCCCGCGCACGTCCACGAGGATGCCGTCCAAGGGCGCGCTGCGAGTGAGCACGCGCTCGGTGGATTCTGACGTGGGCGGCTCCAAGGAGTTTCCCGAGGGTCGCACAGCCCGCGTAGCCTCAAAACTCTCGTCGTCGAGGGGGATGGCTCGGCTGAACTCGAAAGCTCAGGCGGATGGTTCTGCGAGCACCACGGAGCCCACCGAGGATCTGTTGAACACCGGGCTGCTCTCGTTCGAGGCCACGACGCCGCGGACCCCCCGCTGCCCAGACCCGCAGGTAGAGGCGATGAAGGAGATCGCTCGGCTCCGGCGGGAGTTGATGATCCCGATGGAGAGCATGCAGGCCGCGATGAAGTTGTTCAAGCAGCACGCGACAGGTCGTCGTTTTCTTATTCGTTGTGTTGCCGATCGGCGCGGGCCCTTGCACCTCCCCTGCCCCCCCATGGAGTAGATGTCGGTTGTTTGGGCGCCTTTTTCAAGCAGGTGGAGTCTCCCCCCTAGGACGCACTGTTGCAAATAGTCGCGATAAGCAGAGGTCCAGAGCCAACCCCCCCCCCTCCCACTTCCTTCCGCTTAATGTCGAAACGCCGAATAAGAAAACGTTCACCAGTGCCAGCAAACGGCGTGGTCTTCACGGACGGGGAGCTGACGAAGGCGAATCTCGCGAGCGTCATGAGGCAGATGTCGTCGGGGACTTCAAATGATCTGGTCGAGACTTGCTTGGTGGACAACGCGTTCGAAATAGCGGACAAGGACGAGAATGGATCCATCAGTTTCTACGAGTTCGCTATCTGGTATTCAAGCCATAGTTTCGATGAGATGTTCAATCTGGACTCCAAAGAGATAGAACTGCGCACACTATCCGCGCAGCTCGGGATGCCCATGTCAGAGATTGACACATACAGGAAACACTTCGACTCCTTCGACATAGACGGGAACGGCACGATGGACAGGACAGAGTTCTACGAGATGTTGTTGAAGTGCCTCAAGGTGCCTAAGCACATCGGCATTCCCAAGAACCGGGTGGAACAGATGTGGTCCGACGCGGACGCGGACGGCAGCGGGGTGATAGAGTTCATCGAGTTCGTTCTGTTTTACGCCAAGTACTTCGGGGCCAAGGGCATGGATGGGTACTACGCCAAGAACGGCCTCGTGGACACGCTCCGCGGAAGGTAGGCACGCTGCTGACGCGCGGGACCCGGCCTCGTCCGGCGAGGGGCCGAAGGCATCGGACTGGGCCCCCCGACCTGCGAGATGCAGCCTCGAGCGCTTAGGCCTCGGCCAGCCCCCGAAAACTTGGGCCCGCAGGGCTTCGAGACCCCTGACCCAGACCCCCGACGTCATGATTTGTTCATTACGTCGACCCCCAGAGGTCCCGACCCTTTCCCCATGACCGGCTTTGCATCCTGAGTCGTTTTTTGACGCTCCCGAGGCCCGGTGAGGGCCCCCGGAGGCCGAAAATGAAGGAAAACCTCCCGTCATGATTGTTTTATTGCTCGAGGGGGTCTGGGGAGCTGGCCACCCGCCCCTTGCGGGGGGGCCTTTCGCGCGCGGCCTCGTCTCCAGACCGGCCACAGCCGAAAGCCACGAGATGGCGGGCGCTGCAGCCGTGGCGCTCGGGGCGTGTTTTCGCCCGGGGTCGGGCCCCGGGACCATCACGGATGTGCGGCGGCTCGAGAGGAGGAGGAGGGAGGAGGAGGGAGGAGGAGGAGGAGGAGGGAGGAGGGAGGAGGAGGGAGGAGGAGGGAGGAGGGAGGAGGAGGAGGAGGAGGAGGAGGAGGAGGAGGACGACGAGGAGGAGGAGGAGGGACCATCACGGATTTGCGCGGCTCGAGAGATGCCGCAGAAGGACGGGGTCTGGGGCTCTGATCGTGATTCTCCGCGACGTTGCAGTTCCCACAGCGCCTGCTCCCGAGGGGAGCTGTGATCCTTGCGCCACCTCCGTTGGAGGGGGGGCCCGCTGGCTGCGGCACCCCTGTCGAGAGAGCTGTCGCCGACGTCATCGGGCCCCGCGGAGGTGGCGAGGGGCACGGCTGACCCGACTGTGGCCAGTCGGCTCTCGGCAAAAGCTCGGGGGTCCCCAAACGTGGTGGTGAGAACACCCGGTGGTGAGTATGGGGCGAATTGGTGTCACAACCGGTTTTGGCACTCGGGTGGTGTTTCGAGGATGTCTCGAGCGCGGGTGGTCCCGGGAATCACGAAACCCGGTGGTGACCCTGTGTCCCCAAACCTAGAAATTACGTTTTGGGGATTTCAGGTCACCACCGGGTGTCTCACCACCTGGTTTGGGGGCCACCAAAGAGCAGCAAGCGAGCGTCGAAACAAAGCGGGGGGTCGTCTTCACCGATATGGGCACGCAAGCTGCCCGCGTGAGCTCGCGCGCAAGCGCCCTCGTTCCCATTGTGACGTGCCGCGCTGGCGTCCCGCGCAAGCCGCCCCGTAAGGTCGCTGCGTCATCTCGCAGTTAAGACCCGTTTTCGATCGTCGCTCAAGCGGCGTGATGCACAAGCTTTGGGAGGTGCGCGCCGAGCTCTCAGGGTCGGCACCCGGCCCTCGTTCCCCGACAGGCCTCAAGCAGGAGGGGGCCGCCCGGCGCCGAGCCAAGGAGTCCGCGCGGACCTCCGAGAGTGTTGTGCTCGTGTCGTGCTTCGCTCTTTGATTCGGCCCCGCACATCCGCGGCTCTGTCGTTGAGCACGAATCCCCGCCTCCTCTCCCGCGCGCGCACAGCAGCCTCGACCTGCCGGATCGGTCATGGCTTTGAGCCTTGCCGAATCGTGCCTCCCATGGCCACACGTGATTCACTAGAGCGCGCTTTCACGTCCTCTTCCGTCGTTGTCGCGGCAGACGCTTACAGTTGTGGAGCGTGGTTGCGGAACTTCTAGACTGCTCGGGGTAACCTCCTTTACGGGAAGTCCACGCAGCGCTGAGAGCTGTGTCGCACATCGTGTCGATTAGTGCGCCCTTTCTGAGGTGGACAGCCTCACTGTACTGGTTCTGAGCACCGTGCTGCTCATGGAAAGTGCGCACCGGGGTGCAGATTTGGGCCTATACCTTTTTCTGCAACCGATGAGGGGGAGAAGGAGAAAAGGTAGACGGAGGAGCAGGTGGGCGAGGGGAAGGGGAGGGGGAGGATGAAGGAGACGAGGAGGCCAAGGAAGACGATGAGAAAAGGAGGAGAAATGAGTCAGGGAGGAAAAGGGGAAAGAGGTGGAGGAGGGCTGATCTTGCGCACCAGCTTGGGCGAGGACCGAAACACGGCGACCTCGCGAAGGTACTCCAGTTTGATTGTGCTCAAGCGTTCAAGATGTGAGAGGGTGAAGCCTGAACCTGCAAAAGTCTGCGCAATGGCGGTCGCTAAGGCGAAAAAGCTATGCCCGCGCGAGAAGAGCTTACTTGTGATGTCGGCATGTCTACGCATTGCAACGATGCACAACGCTACGAGGCGCCACGAGCTGCACAGCACAGCAGCATAATGCACAGCAAAGCACTCCCTAGCAGATCATGGCAATATCGCAACATGCCATGGCATATCAGATCATTGGGCAGCATGGCATGGCTGAACACACCGCGGCATTCCACAGCACGGCATAGCATCGCATTGCAAAGCAGAGCAGCGCACAGCACTGCAGCACTGCCTCGCGTAGAGTTTGCGCGAGAGGCCAGCGCCCTAGATGCGCGGAGTCTGCCTGCCAGGGGCTGGCAGCAAGCGCTTCTTTCTGCAAGACAAGTGTAAGGGCTCCAGAGGCAAGCCTTCTCGGGAAGGGGACCTCGGAGGAGACCATATGGCAGCGAATGCGCGCCAAGGGCGGGCTGGCAAGGCGAAGGATCACGCCACAGGCGGACGGCCTGCGGGCTGCCGAGGCGCGCAGAGGGCAGAGAGCTCACGGCACGACGGCGGAATGACAAACAAGAGCAGGGCAGCACCGCTGCTGAGCCCCGCGAAGAAGCAAGAGGCGGACGGACGGACAGCCAGCATGACACTCGCTCGGGACCTGGCACTGGGCAAGCCAGGCTCTTGCTTGGTGGCATATGCCGCCTTCGGCCCCCGAGGAGGAGGAGGAGGGAGGAGGAGGAGGAGGAGGAGGAGGAGGAGGAGGAGGAGGAGGAGGAGGAGGAGGAGGGAGGAGGAGGAGGAGGAGGAGGAGCCGCAGCTCGAGCCCCCGGAGCGGCAGGGCGAGGCGCGGCCCCCGGCTATCGCTGCTGCGATGGGAAGGACCGTCCACCGTGAGTGAGGCTGGAGGGCCGGCGTGTGCCGACATCGCATGTGTTGGCTGCGTCGGTTCGTCTTTCGGCGTACGGCTCGCGAGCCAGCAAATGGGAGCCTGCCCACCGGGGGAAGAAAGGCCGCGGCGCCCCGGCGCCGCGGCGCCTCTCGCCCGACGCTCGCGCCAGCGAGCCGTCGGGAAGCAGAGAGAGCCAGCAGAGGGGAGGGAAGGCAGGGCCGAGCGGGTCCAGCTCGAGGACAGATCCGTTCCAGAGCGTTCCAGAGAGCGCTGCGAGAAGGCCCCGGCGCCCAGCACACCCTCCACCCTCCTCCTCACCCTCCCTCCTCCTCCTCCTCCTCCTCCTCCTTCCCCTCCTCCTCCTCCCCCCCCTCTCCCCCCCTCCCCCTCCCCCTCCCCTCCTCCCCCTCCTCCCCTCATCCTCCTCATCCTCCTCATCCTCCTCATCCTTCTCCTCCTCCTCCTCCTCCTCCTCCTCCTCCTCCTCCCCCTCCTCCCCCTCGGCATTCCACGCCTGAGCTGGCGAGAAGAGAGATCGCCAGCAGTCGGAAGTTGGTAGACCTCCTACCCTGACACGTCGGTTCAGGAATCGGCCGTTTCCTGTTCGCGAGAGGGCGTCGCGGCCGTGTCACTGCTGCGGGTCCAGGTCCGTCGGTTTCGGTCCCAGGCCGTATTCACTAAGGGGAGGTTTACGAAAGGGAGGTGTCTCCACCGCCGAAGTAGGGTCATGTCGGGCATGTCCCTCTACAGGAGGGATATTCAAGAAAAGAAGCAAATATTATGGGGGCGATGTTTCTACTACGTTTGATGACTTGTTCTTCCCTAATCCGTGCTTGCACTGAAGGGGTCCTGGCAGAAGTAGAAAGATTTGGCGAAAGTTTCCCGCCGCTTTTGGTAGTAGGCTGGGTTCCAGGGTTCCCGGTTCCGGGTTCCCGGTTATTGGTTCCGGGCCGATTTCGGTGGGTTTTGGGTTCCTAGGCTCCCGGGTTCCTGGTCGATCTCCTCAGCGAAAACCATCCACTGATTGGGGCTTATCTCTGGTGGAATGTATTTGTTTTACTGTTCGTTCAAAATCCGCCTGTAGGAGGACATGCCCGGCCTAACAGCAGTGCGTGGCAGTTCCCAGAACCCCCCATGGAAGACCTCCCCTGACCCCCCCCATCAGGGGAGCTTAGGCGGGTTGACCCCTGGACGCCCCCCCTCAGGAGGCCTTCTTGGAAGGGATCGTCGGGCTTTTCCCCTGGAGCTTCTCTCAGGGGTGGTTTTGGGAGGGGCTCGGGTGGGTTGGGGGGGTTTTCCCTCCCGGAACCTTCCCTCATGAGAGTCGTTGAAAGGCCATAGGGGGGTGGGGGTGGGGGGAAGTTTCACTCAGGGACAGGTTGTCAAGGGGGACAGAGTGGGTGAAGGCCTTCGGGACTGAGGGGAGAGAGGATGGAAAATTGAGGGAGCGAGGGAGCGAAAGAGAGAGAGAGAGAGAAAGAGAGAATGCGAGGGGATGAGGGAGTGAGGGGGGCGAGGGAGTGATGAGGGAGCGGGTAAGGGAGTGAGTGGATGCGGGACGGGGGGGGAAGGAGGACGAGGAGGAGGAGGAGGAGGAGGAGAAGGAGGAGGGGGAATACAAGACAGCTCGCCGCTTAGGCCCCACTGCAAGCCCAAACGGCGAGCATGAATCGGGCGTAGCCCCGCACGCATTCGAATGCCCACACTTCGTCCTCCTACTACTCGTATTCCTCCTCGTCCTCCTCCCAATCCTGATCGTCGTCGTCGTCCACCTCGCCCTCCTCCTCATCATCCTTCTCCTTCTCGTTTTCCTCGTCTTCCTTCTCCGCCGGCTCGGTTTTCTGTCGGTTGCACCATGGGTTGTACCCTCGGCGGTTGAGAATAAAACCGTCTCCGATCCGCCATATGTTGCGGCCTCGACGGCTGAGAATAAAACATCTCCTATCGGTTGCGCCCTCGGCGGCCGAGAATGAAGCCGTTTCCTATCGGTTGCGCCATATGTTGCGCCTTCGGCGGCCGAGAATAAACCCGTCTCCGATCGGTTGCGCCATAGAGTGCGCCCTTGGCGGCCGAGAGCAAAACCGTCGCGTAACGGGTGCGACCAGTCTGTTCAGTTCAGATCAGTTCAGTTCAGTTCAGTCAGCTCACTTCGCGAGAAACAAATTCAGGCTTCGCCCGAAAAGAAGAAGAAGGAGAAGAAGAGGAGGAGAAGGAGGAGGAGGAGGAAGAGAAGGAGCAGGAGGAGGAGGAGGAGCAGGAAGACGCCCCACCCACGCGGCAGGAGCAGGAGGAGTAGGAGGAGGAGGAGGAGGAGGAGGAGGAGGAGGAAGAGGAGAAAAAAGAGGAGGAGGAGGAGGGAGGAGGAGGAGGAGGAGGAGGGAGGAGGGAGGAGGAGGAGAGGAGGAGGAGAGGAGGAGGAGGAGGACGAGGAGGAGGAGGAGGAGAAGGAGGAGGAGGACGACGACGACAGGGAGAGGGAGGAGAAGGAGGGAGGAGGAGCGGGAGAAGGCGATGAAGGACGAGGAGGAGGTGGCGCTCACACAGTCGGTGCAGCGGCGCCCCCTCGATGGGGAGAGCGCTTGCAGCGGCCTGCGGCTCCGACCCTTAAGGGCCCAGGGCAGCGGACTGCGGATCACTATCACTCGAAGAAGAAAGAACGCCACACACATAAATGTTTGGCGACCCGCGCGGACTTCTTGGATCCGCCCCCCGGCGGCGCCTTCGGCGCCGCCCTGGGCGCGCTCCGCGCGCCATGGGGAGGGGTCCAGCGCGGATCCCAGAGATCCGCGCGGAGCGCCACAAGTCTATGTTTATGCCGTTTTTTCTTCCTCTCAATCACAGTGTTTCAATCCCGACTGGCAGCCCCGGCCCACACCGCGGAGGCCGCCAGGCGGGAGCGCGCGGCAGGCCACCTGAGGGGGGATGGCGCCTCGCGTCGGCGGGAGGGCGGGGATCCAGACTTCTGGCGCCGATCGCCAGGACCGGGTCGGACAAGAGGAGGCTCCTCCACCGCCTCCTCCTCCTCCTCCTCCTCCTCCTCTTCCTCCTCCTCCTCCTCCTCCTCGTCCTCCTCCTCCTCCTCCCCCTGGATCGGGACAGATCGCTCCGCGGCGTTCCAGCACGCCCTCGGAGCGTCCCGGATCGCTTTGAAGCAGCCGCGGTGCGCGATGCATCCCCCAGGCCCGCCGGCTGAAGCAAATGATGCTGGGCACCGAAGCGAGCAGAAGCCGCTTGAGACGTCCCCACCATCTGGGCGCGAACGGTCCCGTGAAGAAACCTTGGCGTTTCCCCCTTGTGGTGCTGAAACCAGCGCCTCGTTCGAGACATCCTCACAGCCTGCGTGCGTGAACCGTTGTGACTATAAGTGAATATGATCGAGGAAGTGGAGTGATTGAGCCTGGGTGATGAAGAGTGTCCCTGGGTATGAGTGGGTCTGAGTACAAGTGTGTCTGAGTATGGGCGAATATGAGTGTGGATAAGTCTGAGTGTGAGCGAGTCTGAGTACGAGCGAGCATGAATTAGTTTGAATATGAGCGGATGCGTGAATATGAGTACGAGGCAGTCCGAGTGATTCTGAGTGAATCTGAGGGAGGTTGAGTGAGAAAGAGGACCAGGAGAAGGAGGGGGTGAGAAGAGGTGTGGAGGGAGTCGCGTCATTCAACCTGTATACCCCAAGCCCTCGAATCCCGCCTTCTTTGTCTATGAACTTCAACAAAACGGTTCGGGGGGAAAAAAAAGGGTCCTTGGGACAGGGGCGGGACTTCTCGGGATTGCGCACAGTCAAGACGCTGAAATAAGGAACAGTTTGGGTTTGAAAGGGGTTCGATGTTCCTTAGGTCGTTCCGTGGCAGTTCT